CCGATTCTTGGTCTTCGCCCCGCCGGCAAAGACGACAACACTAGCTCCCCGGAACAGAACGTCTTAACAGGTAGTAGCTGGCAGTGTTGTCCACTCGTTCGTACGTTTAGCAGTCCCTGTGCTCCAGCACTGATGGTGCTTCAACGTGATCGGGCGCAAACAGAATGTCCTGCGAGCAGCTGCCTTCGCTCGGTGCGCGTCCCTCCTCTTCTATACGCACGCAGACATCCTCTTTGCACACAATAATAAATGCTCACTTCTCATCAACTCCAATAAACACCAATTTCAGACTCCTACCCCCTAGGTTGGATCCATCTGAAATACTCGCTTTATTTCATCTTCTTGTTTTTTTATCATATTTTATCCCTGTGCTGACCTTTCGGGTTCACTATGTTTTAGTACGACGTATACTTGTAGCTGATACCTCTTTTGATGCACGTTAGCCTGTGACCACGGGAATTGACCGCGAACAATGCTGGATTATGGCAGAGAGATTGTGACAGAAGGAGGTACTGGATAGGGAATACGGGACCTTGTTTATTGTGACGACTACTGCAATCTTATCATCGCCTTCCTGCACAACCGTTCGCGTTCACGACTTCAGCGGCTTTTCGGAGCGGCAGAAGGTCATGGCCGTCCAGGCAGAAGGGGCGTTCGTGGACGTCCATTTCGTNCACTGGATAGGGAATACGGGACCTAGTTTTTTGTGACGACTACTGCAATCTTGTCATCGCCTTCCTGCACAACCGTTCGCGTTCACGACTTCAGCGGCTTTTCGGAGCGGCAGAAGGTCATGGCCGTCCAGGCAGAAGGGGCGTTCGTGGACGTCCATTTCGTCCCGCAGACAACAGGTGGAGGTGAGAGGCTTTAAACCTGCATCAAGGCACCCCTTCTGGCAGTTACCTCATGTGCGGGTGTCGCAGGAAGGCCTCAAGTACACAGCTGGTCACCCGATGGGCCACTTTGAAATTCCAAGGGAGCCGTGAATATGTGCAACCTAGCTGTCAGTGCCAAAAAGACGTGTCAGGCGGAACCGCACAAGGTCCCTGAGCCAGCCATTGTGCACAGATGAATCACTAACGAAACAGTAGGATATTTCACTAACGATACAGGCTTGGTGGGGACCATGATTCCCCTGAACCGTCCGTTCATACTGTTGGTATGCCCTTGTTGTGTGACCTCCAGAGTGTTGTTAACGGCATGTATTATCGTAGGGGGACATGAGGGAGAAGGAGGGAGGAAGAGCGCCAGGCCCAAAGCCAGTCGAAAGGGGGGCCCGCAACTCGTATCTCAAGGTCTCTCCTAGCCGCCCCTCAAGGCAATCCCATCTGCGGTACACGAAACCGCCAGTGATTTGGTACAATCCGACTAATCTACCTCCACGCACGAACACCCTCCTTTGGTTCTTTACGCCAGTGAATAACCACCACTCGTGCGGCGCGTGGGGTACCGCGTGCACTCTACATCATCGGCTGGCGGGGCCCGGAAATACGTAGCTGTGGGATGGTGGAAATCAGAAACAAGGGGAAACCCGCCATCGGATCAAAACCCCTTACAAATCTCAACGCCTTCACGCCGTTCATATCATGAAAGATTCCAACGGCCGTACTGCAACATCAAGGCAAGACAATATCTACCACCGCCCCCGGCTCGCTCTCTACGCCACGCTCGGCTGACTCGACAAGGTCCTCCCTGCGCAGCACAAAAACAAATCATCAAGCACGCCCCTACCCTTCTGGTGAGGTCGTACGACAAACTTGGCCAAAATAGCCACCTACAATGCACCTGATATCCATTGTCCGCTCCTCGAATAACACTGATAGTCTACACGCCGTATGCCCTTCCTCACGCAACACATGCCTAGTAGTTGGGGACGCCTTCATGCGCCCTCTCTAGTGTGCCAAACAACGCGCGTCGCTTTCCCCTTCTCGGAAAGACGCTTTCCTTTCTTCATTCCTTGAACAAAGGCGACGCCTGGTGAGATTCGAACTCCTGGCGTATCCTTACTCGTTACATGGTCTTATTCACCAGACTACTTAGTCACTTGGTTGCCTAGAAGCACATACACGTGGTGATCGTCCAGCATTCAACCAACAAATCAGACACATGGTACATGCAACATCGTGGAATCACGACCAAACTCCTCCCGTAAATAGAGTCCAACAACACCCAAGAGGCAACGCCCTCCGTCATCCAATAACTGCAAGATCGAAATAGTTCCACCTCAATCATGAGAGGACGACCATAACTCTGTCACGTTGCAGAATATCTGCAGACCGGGCGCAAAACTCTCCGAGCATTACACTCTCCAAAACAAAAAAAAACACGCACGGCGCCAACCTCCCTTATTCTGCAACCACACAGGCCACACAGGGAACACAAAACAAGCGGTGACGCGTGAAACTCGAGCATGTGGTGACGGAAACACCCATGGATTTCAACAAGCAATTAAGAGCGATCTATGCACGTCCGCAACAGCGCCTCACTTGCGACTATTCACGTGCAATACAAGTTATCGCCCTTTACTGCCAAACGCCACATACAAAAGAATCAGAAAAAAATAAATACAACACATTCCGGTACCAACCAAAATGAAGATAGTGCCCGCGGAAATCCACCGCGCGGCTGGTCCGTTTTGCTTCCCTCCCCACCCGCCCGCACCCGACGTCCCTTGGCGTCCCGACGTTCCTCGGTGTAGCGGTGTAGCAGACAGGCACACGACGGCTTTCTCGTGTCTTTGAACTCCACCATCCCACAGCTACGTATTTCCGGGCCCCGCCAGCTGATGATGTAGAGTGCACGCGGTACCCCACGCGCCTTGATGTTCGCTGCCCCCTTCCCGCTCTTGGTAGAAGGCAGCCACGGCCACTGCCGTGCTGCTGGGTGTGGAACAAATACTCCAGCACTTCTCACACAACTCCCGTGATACCCCGCCTATCCATCGGGGCCAGAAAGCACTTCTCTCCCCGCATATCCATTGGGGCCAGCAAGATTATTCTGGTACCCTTCCCCGCACATACGACGGGTTGGGTTCGCGTGCCCCCTCCTACACGCTCCTTAATGGGGATAAACACAAGAGAGCACACACTACTCTCAAGTGTACACGAGTGTTCTCCACCCGTGTTCGCGGGCCACATACCTTGCGGGTACAACCCGCGGGCATTCCCGCTCCGGCCTTGTCTCCGGACCTGCCCCAGCAGACATTGGTGTTGTATACCTCCAGGCCATCCCCCGGTCTTGTGTTCCTTCCATGCTGCTGGGGTGCAGGCGGCAGAACTCCACCGCCTCCGCGTGCCCCCTGCTACACGCCCTTTTAATGGGGTCAAACCGATACAGCAACCGGCTCGGGAGTAGCGGATACTCTCCTCTGCTCCCACGACCCGCACCTGCGGGCGAGCGGCAGCCTCCGTGCTCCCGCTCTATGGAGCCCCCGTTGGGACTCC